TTAACAATGGAGGCAATGTTGTGGGATAATGTGCACTAACAGTTTCACTACAAGGACTAAATTGCAAGCTCTCTAAAAAGTTCATGTTTGGTCTGATCTGACCAAAGCACTGTCTTTTGCATCTGTTTTAACTTCAACATGGCTTGTGTTAAACTGCAACCCGGGGCTCATCACTTTTTTCACTATATTTGGGGTGAGTGTAAAAATTGCTGTCCTCCAAACAGAATTACTCACCTTAATACAGCTCCTTAAAGGTTTCTCATTTTTCTTCACCTTCACCTAAGCACTACTCTGTGTTAATATATGATAATAACCCCGAGAAAATACACTGAGCTTTGTGATTGTAATGGGACAAAACGTAGTAGGGTATGAATGAATGTCAAGTTGAAATGTAGAAGGACTGTATTTTTTTAAATTTTTTAACCAATGAAAAAAAGGTTTACGGTTTCCAAAAATCTTTAATCATAGAAGAAAAAGCAAGCTGAGGTTTAAGGTGTTGCAGTTTTTAGTACTTGGCTCAATTTAAATGCATCTAAAAGAGAAAATCTTTTTATTTTTCATTGTTCTATGTTTTATTAAATAGAACAAAAGTTGCCTTACAGTAAGCTGCTTATGGTTAATTGTATCATGCAAAACGAAATAGATTATCGAAGGTTTGAGTAGTTTACCTAAGTAATATTGATTTTGAAATATTCAGGTGAATAAATGAAGAACAGACTTATTATAAATCCAATTCCATATAAAGTTGTGTGCTTAACTGAAATATTTAAATATGAGTTTTTTTTCTTTCTTTTTTTTAAACATAGATGAAATAAGGCTACAAATGACAAGATTTTTTTTTTTTCCTTTTGAGGTCTTGGTGGTTTCCCCAATCTAAAAGCCTCCCTGTGCAAAGAGCAATTTTACCTTCGCCAAAAATCACCAATGGTTGTATTTCTATACTCTCCCCATGATTAAGAGCTCCATATAAAAAGCTGAACAAAAGCCTTATTAAAAAAAGAGGCTTCCTTTTATCAGCTCCTAATTGTGCAAGCCAGATGTTTACCGTGCTCCACGGTGCCATAACCACGTGGCATCGTTTGCTATTGCTTGGAGAGTGTGTAAATAGGCTCTGGGGAAGAAGGGAAGATTGCACTTTGAGTCAATCAGTAGCCATGAACTCAAGAGCTCTGCTCTTTTCTCCTCTATTCATCTCCCCATTAGAAAGATCGGAACACACAGTTGTTATGAAGGCAGGCGCTTAATCCACACACTGCTGATCAAGGCTAACCCTGAAATAATCATGAGTCCCTTCTTTCTGCATCACACTCTCTCCCACACATGAAACACATATGCATTTTTTTGTATGTTTTCTATGCATCTGAGTGTTAAGAGCACACTGGAAGCATGTTATGTAATCAGTCATATGAACTATAAAATGTTCTTTATGTATAAATCTAAGGAAAATGTTTTACCTGAAAATCTATAAGGACTTTCAAGACAAGAACCAAGTATTCAGTTATTAGGTTAACCATATAACCGTTATTCTTTCAAAGGTGTTTCTGATAAGTACTCACGGTTTGATTTTGTTGGAGAACCTCTGCCGCAGGAGGACAGCAATAGTTGTCAGGACCATCATAGTTGTGCACATGGTTCTGTCCTCAATGGTCTCTGGCCTTGGGGCCTGCTGGCTGTCTGGAACACCGAAACCTCTTACCCCATTGAAAGGTTTAAATTGTGCAGGGTAGACATCAGGTTTGTAACAGAGACTATTCCTGCCTTGGCTCTCACCCGTGATTGGGGAGATTAGCAGAGAGGATTAGCCAGGATGAAGGAGCGGGCTGGATCTCGCTGGAAGGGCCAGGAGGCAAACAGAGCATGCTGTGTTGCTATTCTGAAAACAGCCCACACCATGTTGTTAGCACAGCAATCGCTCATATATATATATATATATATATATATATATATATATATATATATATATATATATATATATATATATATATAT